TTTCATCTGCATCTCTCAAATGATCAGCGATGTTGAACATTTTTTCATATATTTATTTGCTGCTTTTACTTCTTTGTCTGAGAAATGTCTGTTCATTTCAGATGCCCATTTTAAAATCAGGTCTTTGCTTTGGGGGGGGATCTGATTGTTTTTTAATACTTTATATATTCTAGGTAGTAGTCATTTGTCTGAAGAGTAGCTGGTAAAGATGTTTTCCTACATTGTACACTGTCTCTTAGCTCTGGGTGATTTCTTTTTACTTCTTTGTCTGAGAAATGTCTGTTCATTTCAGATGCCCATTTTTGAATCAGGTCTTTGCTTTGGGGGGGGATCTGATTGTTTTTTAATACTTTATATATTCTAGGTAGTAGTCATTTGTCTGAAGAGTAGCTGGTAAAGATGTTTTCCTACATTGTACACTGTCTCTTAGCTCTGTTGGTGATTTCTCTTGCACTGCAAAACTTTTTAATGAGATCCCAGTTGATTCTTTGAGCAAGTTCTTGTGCTGCTGAGGATTTTTTCATAAAGTCTTCTCCTATGCCAGTGTCTTCAAGAGTCCTACCTAATTTACTTTCCAGTAAGTTTAGTGTTTGTGTTTTGATATTTAGATCTTTAATCCACTTGGATTTTAGTTTAGTGCATAGTGAAAGATAGGGATCTAGTTTTAATCTTTGGCAAGGTGAAACCCAGTTTCTCCAACACCATTTATTAAAGAGGCTGTCTTTCCTCCAGTGAGGATGGTTGGCTCCTTTGTCAAGGTTTGCGCCCCTGCCTTCATCGGTGAGGACTGCCCAGCCCCGCGGGCAACCCTGCAGCACCCCCGACCTGCCCCCGCCGTGCTCTCGGGCCTCCTGGTTGTGCTGGTACCTGGATCCACACTGCAGACAGGGATGGTCAAAAAGGCCACTGTGGGCCGGGGATTTAGCTCAGTGGTTTGGCCGCCTGCCTTGCAAGCCCAAGGACCTCAGTTCGATCCCCGGTACAAGAAAAAAAAAAAGCCATTGTACTGAGCTCCAGAAGATAGAACAGGAGTGAATGACTGCAATAAAGGCACGCCAGTCCTCCGTAGTCAGTTGACGGGGTCAGCACTTTCCGTCAGAACCTGGACTATCTTCAGGGAAGGGCAGCTGGAACCTGCCGTAGCACCTTGCAGAGTTCAACCCTCCAGGAGGTCAGGGAGCTCAACTTGGGCCTTGCAGCCAGAATTCAGTCTGAGTCCCGGGGTCTGCCATCGGCCAGCTGAGATTAACTGATTCAGGTCTGCACACTGCTGCCCACATCTTCTATTGTGACAGCAGAGATATGCCCTGAAGGAAGCCCTTCAATTTTTTTTCTTTCTTTTCCTTACTTTTAATTTTTAATTTTTATCTTTAAAATATTATTTTCCCACTCTTCAAATTCCTTTTTTCTTTCTTCTTTTTCCCACTCAAGCTCTTGCTCCCCCACATTGTTCTTCGTGTCCCTGTTCCTCCTCTAATTCAGATTACTTCTTTCTTCTTCTTTTCGTCTCTCTTTGTCCTTCTCTAGATCAAACAGGATATAAGAAAACAGAAAGCTATCCATTGCTCCTGGGTAGGAAGAATCAACACAGTGAAAATGGCCATACTTCCAAAACTGCTATACAGATTCAGTGCAATCCCAACTGAAATTCCAACAGTATATTTCACAGAACTAGAGAAAATAATCCCAAAACTCATTTGGAACAAGAAGAGACCTAGAATAGCAAAAGAAAAGGCAGGGAGTATCTCAATGCCCAACTTGAAACTATACTACAAAGCCACTGTGATAAAAACAGCATGGCACTGGCAAAGAAAAAGACCCGAGGATCAGTGGAACAGATTGGAAGACACAGAAACAACTGTAAATTCAGAGGACATCAGGTACTTAGACATGGGGACCTCAGGTACTCAGAAAAATCTTGCGTTGGTAGCAGAAAGTAATCAGCACTTGAATAAAAAATGAGCCAATCCTGATGAACAAATATTAAAAGCAAGACACAAAGGGCTTCAGTTGTTTACAAATATATTATTTTACAAATACCTTATCAAGTATCTTATCCCAAAACAAAGAGCAACAAGGTAATGTTTCATCAAAATCTATTCAATAGTTATATTAATCATTGGGATCTTGTACCTTTACATGATATCTCGACTCTCGTTTTTTCCCATACCCGTTCTCCCTTCACCCCATTCACCCTTCCCTATTTACAAAGATTTTGTTTCCATTTTTTCATATTTTTTCTCTTCCCTTATTTCCTCTCCGCTACCCTTCCCACTTCCCATTTAGCCATTTTCACACTCCCAATTACACCATTCAAAGCTTATTTACACCTTTAGTTTTTCAAACCAGAGAAATCATTCAGTATTTACTTGTGTGTCCTATTTATTTCACTTAAGAGTATAGC